GTTTTTTGCTTCAAAGCCAAGTGATTTCTTTAACCAGAGCATTAAACAACCTGATTGTAAGATGTTAAAGCATCACCGATAAGAATGGAGACTATTTCATTTAATAAATGTTTTGTTTTGATATACAAGTTGTTCGGGTTTTTTCATCTAAAAAAAGCGACATTAATTTATTGACGACCTAATATTTCAAACATTATCAACTTGTACTTAAAGCTTAAAAACCAAAACGTAAACAATAGTTAACACACGACTTTGGGCCCTGAAACTGGCGCGTATTTGTAAATGTTTGTACACTACAATACAATGGTTTCAAGTCTCACGAACAAGTGTTCGAACCGTATTTTAACGTTAAAAGAGACTAACAGGCCTGTATGCTCCATTATCACGCTAACGTAAGTAACAAATCTGTAAAAACCTTGACAATACTGCCTCGATAGCAGGAAGAAAAATATTATGTACATTTTTTACTTGCTTCATTCTGTGACTAAAATAATCACTACTCACGAGATGCCTAACTATAGAGGATCCCGAGCAAATGGAATAACAGTGTTGGTGAGTTATCGCTGCTAGCGCGGCCCAGCATGGCCAGGTGGTTAGGGCGCTCGACTCGCAATCTGAGGGTCGCGGGTTCGAATCCCCCTCCCACCAAACATGCTCGCCCTTTTAGCCGTGGGGGCGTTATAATGTGACGGTCAATCCCACTATTCGTTGTTAAAAGAGTAGCCCAAGAGTTGTCGGTGGGTGGTGATGACTAGCTGCCTTCCCTCTAGTCTTACACTGCTAAATTAGGGACGGCTAGCGCAGATAGCCCTCGTGTAGCTTTGCGCGAAATTAAAAACAGAACCAAAAACCGCTGCTAGCGCTTTTTACACGTACAGAAGTTAGAGAAATCGAAACGAAAGCAGGTAGGAGAAGAGGATAATCAAAACATGTTCGGGCATGTTCGAGAAACGGTAAAAAAAATTAACAATCAACTGATAACTTGTACTCACCGTACAGGATAGGTGCCACGTTGCTTTTCCCCAGTGCCCCAAACATTGTAGGAGCATATTGTGTTGGGTGGAGTCGGGTCTTCACCTCCAGGTCTCGTGCTTGGCGGGTCAACTTGCTGTAGAGGTACACCTTGCGCATGTAGAGACACAACATAACTATTGTTGCACACACCAGATTGGCAACAATTATTGTCGTGTCTCGATAAGCCAGCGGTAGTTGGGTGCAAAGTATGGTCCAGGCCAACCAGACCAAGGCCATCAGCACACAGCACACTAGTATCCAGCGAGACTCCCGGTTGTTATCAGCACAGTGCCACGTGAGGATAGAGAAGAGGATGGAGAGCGCTAGCAGCAGCATTACGTAAACTAGCGAGATGATCAGTTCGGCCTCGAAGGTGGTAGGTGGCGCGCATCTCCACACCCTCTCGTACACCCCGATCTTAGGCGGCATCAGCACCAACCAAGCCGCTGCAAGGATCACCTGGATGACTACCAGGCCAACGGCCACCATCAAAAGTCCAGCAGGACTCGTGAGGCGAGTTCCGTCATGCAGCATACGGTTACCCTTATAACCCATCAACCGCCAGGCGTTCATAACCTTAACCAACATCCCGGAAAAAACGATAGCGTAGGCCAAGCCCATTACAAACCTCCGGACACCGCAAGTACTCTCCGTGGGCGCTAGAATGAAGGAAAAATTAACGGCGTATAAGATAAGAAGACCGAACAAGATCAGGTAACCAAGTACGGTGGTACCAACGGTCACGGGAAAAGCCATCAAGAAATACGAAGCACAGATGACCACCAATGCTATTCCCAACAAGGACAGTGCCGTTACTATTATTCCCCAAACTGTCTTGAAATTCATATATATTGGTCCTGGTTGAAATAAATTGTCGGCTTTGACGTCCCCGAACTGTTTACTACATTTTTCTTGACAAGTTCCGAAACACAGGGACGTCGGAGTCTCTCCGTTAGAGAAGGTAACTTGTTCCTCTTGAAGTTGTAGCCTTCCGTTCTTCCATATACCAACCTGAAACGAAGGTGACAACACAGTCGAGATTAGCGCGGGAAATTGTAGAAAATACAAACTCTCTATTATTAATCGTTTCAATTATCAGAATATGTACACTTCGAATCGATCATAATAATAATGATAAAACGTTATGTAATATTTGAATCTTGTTCTTATATAAGTACAAACAATAATTCTGGGCATTTCTAAAGAATTTAATCTCCTATCCAGATTGAAACACGCGAATATTAAAGGGGGGGGAGTATAAGAGAAAAGAACAAACAAGTCGTTTCTGAGTTAATGTGCGGATTTCGACAAATGATTGAATGTTAAACATCAAGATTTGGTCATATTTGTGTATTCCTATTATCAGCATTATCTCCGTAATGTAATTTTAGGCCTTGATTACGAAATTACAAGTTGATGTTTTTTAGATCTATTTTTATACATTCATTTGCTTTGTGCCCCCCCCCCCCCGTGGCTCGGCGGCAAATCAGAGAGCTTGGTTTCGATACCCGAGGTGGGCAGAGCACAGACAGCCCATCGTGTAGTTTGGCGCTTAACAAATAAATGACCATTCGCTTTGTTTTTAAAACATATTCTTCGACGTATATTAACTAGTAATCAGTCTCTTTTTTTTAATTGTCTTAAACTTTAATTTTTCTTGGATTTTATTTTAAATTATGCTTTATATAAAAAGTTGGCCCGGCATGGCCAGGTGGTTAAGGCACTCGACTCGCAATCTGAGGGTCGCGGGTTCGAATCCCCGTCACAACAAACATGCTCGCCCTTTCAGCCGTGTGGCCGTTATAATGTGACGGTCAATCCCACTATTCGTTGGTAAAAGAGTAGCCCAAGAGTTGGCGGTGGGTGGTGATGACTAGCTGCCTTCCCTCTAGTCTTACACTGCTAAATTAGGGACGGCTAGCGCAGATAGCCCTCGTGTAGCTTTGTGCAAAATTCAAAAACAAACAATATAAAAATTTAGACTAAGTTTTTAACTCTGTTAGGATTCTAGTATGTATGTTATGATTATTAATTTATAAGACGTAGAAATTTGTTAAAGAAACTAGAAACCAGCACGATAAGTGCATTTTTTTTTTTTTTACGCTTTCGAGTACATAGAGGTTCCATTACCCAGTGATAACATTATTTCCTCCGTACCTGAACGTAGTTCTTCTTCTTGCTCTCGTTATTTTTCTTTAAGCTAAATATTTGGTATCCAAAAGCTGATTCTGATGAACTTTCGCATTCCTCACAGTCCATATTATGGCCCATTAGTTCAGTCTTAATTTCTGTGGTCAACATTTCTCGAGCGTTCTCTCCACAATCTTCTATGCTCATGGCAGCATCACCATGAATACAGTGAGTTCGGAGGTACGAATGAAGACCCCGACCAATGGCATTGACAGCAGTGACAGTGTGGTAAACGTACTTGTCTTGTTTAAAGTTCTCCTCATTCAGTCTTTCCTGACCACTACAAACATCTGGGTACTGTCGTTGGACTACTTGGCTATTCGCGAGCTGACAACGAAAATGGTGTTGCCAAAACTCCTCAAACCATGCATCTGGGATCGGCTCGTGCTTTCCAAGCGTCTTTGCACCGTAGCAACGTTTTAACTCGGGAACGT